TCCATGAAATGAATGTGCTGGAAACCTTTTATTCTGAGAACGTTAGTTTAAAATAGTAAAATATATTTCATTTAATCTTAAAATGAGGTTAATACAACATAAACTTTAATTTTATATTCATTGCAATTGCAAGCAAGTGTTTAATTCAAATATGAAATGCAAGTAAGGGAATTGTTATACTGCATTTGATAACAAATCCTGATTTGCAGGAAATGATACACGCTCTTAGTAGACTGTTGAAGCAGCAGTTTTAGACAGCAAGACAAAGACTCCAAATGATCTAATTTTATCAAACATTTCGCACTATAATCATATATTTTTTGAAGTTTTTCTTTTCATTTATACATTACATATTCATATATTATATTGGGCTTGTCATTTTGTTTATTACTTTTGGCTTTTTTGTCATTTAGTATTTGTGATCTTATGACATTTATCTTTGTACTTATGGGGAATTTGCCAAACATTCTGAAAGAGAAACAGTTCAAGAGAGATCCTAAAACAGAAATATTACCAGCATCATTGTAAACTTCCATGAAAAAGAAAACTGTAGAACATCTAAAGAAAGTAATATGACCTGCAAAGGGAACATTGTGATGGAATTTAAAATGGACATATAATCAAATGCAACAGAGGAGTTCAAAACGAAGGGGTCAGAAAAGGTAAGGAAGGGCCTGTTAGCCTACTTACACAAATGGGTTATTCTGTGTCCCAACAACCATCATGTTAGTGGGCTACCAACAAAGATCTGTGGAGTTATGCTGACATCTAGTGGTTCATTTATTCCCTAAACTTCTTTGGCAATATGGGAAATTCAACAAATTCAAACGTTTGGGTGGCTCTAAGCCAAAGCAAGAATGAAAAATAACACAAAACAGGACAAACATGTAGTTCTTTGAGTGATAATTGGTACAGTTACACAAATGGGTTGTTCTGTGCCTGTGCAGAGCAAAACTGGAGACTTCTAGATATTTGCCTTGAGATGGCAAACTTTATGCCTCTGGCAGGCTCAAGTATTAAGATTTGTCCACTTCCTTAAAGAGTACATCAAGAAAAGCTAATATGAGCTCCACAAGAATGCAATGGAGATGTACTAGTTACGGGACTGGAAGATGATTTCAGTGACTGAAGAAGCAGCCTATTTTCCTTTTATTGTGATCTGTCAACCATACAGTAGTCCCACATGTAAGAAAATAGTAGGCTGGCAGACCTGGAGTAGGTCTTTCACCAGAATGTCCTGACAGACACCATAATTGCTGAACTATTCCTTTGTGCCTACTGAATAATGTACCTTTATGCTACATTCTCCCCCTTTGGGAAGTAGTTCAATAGGACTAATTTACCTTTTTAAAAATTAAACGACTATGTTAGAATCTTTATAACTACCCTACTCATTTCATCATCTTGAAACATTCCAGTGGCTTCACCAGTCCTCCATTTTGTGTCTATCTAGGCACAAGATAAGCTGTCTGCAGTCAAAGTCAATTTTCTCCATGTGGTGTGTCTTGGCCTAAACCCACTAGGCCTTCTGTGCTCATGTGGGGAGATCCAATCATCCCTGTAATCTGAATCTCCACTGTGATACCATCTCACCTAAGATTTAATTTCATTTAACTTATTCAATTTAGGCACCGCCCAACTCCAAACTGACTTTGGGTGGTGTACAATAAAGCCAAACAAAATACAAAATACAAAGGAGTAAGAAAGGGACAAACAAACAAGAGCAGATGGCAAGTCCAACCTACAGCACCCCACCCCCACACACACCCAACAGGGGCTCCAACCACCCTACCCCAAGGTTGTGCACGCTCACAATCCAACAAACATACACCTCCCATTCTAATAACATAAAAATCCAAATAATTTTCTGGCATGTCTGCTGTGCAGTGCATGGGAACCATACTTTCCAGTTGAATATTGTTGTTGTTCAGTCGTTAAGTCATGTCCGACTCTTCGTGACCCCATGAACCCTATTGCGCCAG